AGGTTTTTGCTTAAAATCTTTACGTTTTCTTGTTATTGACGAAGCTGATCGTATAATGGACGCTGTTTTTCAAAATTGGCTATATCATTTGGATGAACATGTGCGTGCCACTTCGGATCAGTTACTGTCGGGACGCGCCGCGCCTCTCTGTTATCGCGAGTTAGAAATAAGTTGCGCCACACAACCGCATAAGTTGTTATTCTCGGCTACGCTTTCGCAAGATCCGGAAAAATTACAGAACTTAAGATTGTTCCAACCTAAATTATTCACATCGGTGCTTGCTAACTTGTCAGAATTGCAAGAGAAGTTCGCAGATGCAATAAACATTGAACAGCAAGATAATCAACTGAATCGTGGTGAATTCATAGGAAAATATACAACACCAGCTGAGCTGACGGAACGCTATTGTATCACAGAGAATCGCATAAAACCATTGACGCTGTTTGCCTTAATCAATGAAAATGAATGGACAAAATTCCTTTGTTTCACGAACAGTGCTGACGCCTCGAGCAGGTAAATTGGGGAAAAGACTGGTCAATTTATCATTAAAAACCTCTTTTTCCCATAGATTAGCTTTCGTTTTAAATGCGTTATTTAATGAAAAACTGATCATACGTGACTTGAGCGCTTCCATAAGCCCGAAGGAAAGAACTAATGTTTTAAGTCAATTCGCACGTGGACGCGTGCATGGGTATGTACAATTAAAAATTTTTGAAAAAAATATATATACAAAACGTTGGTGATTCATGTATTTTTAGGCTTGTATGTTCTGATGCCCTAGCTCGTGGTATTGATTTAGCCAATGTAGATGTAGTCATTTCCTATGATTTACCGCGACACATCAAAACCTATATACATCGTATTGGTCGTACAGCGCGTGCGGGTAGTCTGGGTACAGCGATAACAATACTAAACCAAAAGGAGCTGCTACAATTCAATGTAAAAATTTAATTTGTTTACCTTTTCAAAGTTAATTATCGTGCAATTCTATTACAGCACATTCTCGGCGAGGTGGGTAAAGTGTTAACAAATGAAATTACCGTTACCAGCGATCATGAGACGGAATATGCCAAGGCCTACACTTTAGCGCTGCAGGCACTGCGTAAGAAGCTTGAACAAGACAAACGCACAGAAATATTGCGAAAAGAGCGCGCCAAGGATAAAGCAAAATTGGCAACTAAAGATCCATCGAAAATGTCGGTTATGGAAAAATTGCAGTTGCAGGCTACGATGCAGGTTAGGGATATTGAAGGCGATAATCAAGAACCCAAAAAGCACCAGAAAAACAATCAAAAAGATAAATTGATTAAGCGTAAGAAGTTTAATGCGAGCGCTGGAAAACATAAAGAAATACAAAAATAAAGTGGCTTACAAACAATTTACATATTAATATGAGAAAGGCTTTTTTTAAGTTAATATAGGTAGGTGATCCACGGAAGCAAGCACGGGTTGACTATAGTATATGGTATGATGCAAGCGATCTTTGCAGAGCACATTTTAGGAGGCCAAACTCAGCATTGCACCTGTGCAACTTAGTTTCTGGGCGAGGTAGTCACTTATCAACTCACGGGTGGTGCTCAGGACAGACTCTAGTCAGAAGTGGCGCTAGTCAAGGCTGGAATTGCATTTCACCTGTGCCAAATTTCGATATATTATGTTCTAACACGGAGCAGACAAGTGCTGCTGGTTAACCATCGCATGAAACATGAAGCGGAATCATGGTGGGGAGGGCCAGAAAGGTGGGGGAGTTGTTGTTTCTTTGGTTGTTGTTGTAACAACATACAAATTCCCAAGAAGGGTTTTTGGGTAATGACGCTGGCGTGACAATCTTTGGCCAGATATAAATCTGGGTCGTTCCGGTTACGTAGAACGTTGCTTCTTTGGTGTTTGTTTGCAATGTTGGAGACCGTGAAAGCTGGTGGAGCAAGAGGGTGTGGTAGCTGCTGGAAGTGTTGCACCAGAGGCACAACGATTACAGGGTTATTTTTGTTGTAACAGCATACAAATTCCCCAAAGAGTTTGTGGGGAGTGTGGCTGGAGTGAGAGTCCTCGGCCAGATATAAATCTGGGTCTTTCCGGTTACGTAGACCCGACTGTCGCGGGAACGACGATTACAGGTTAGATCGCCTTGTTCGGGTAAGCCCCACTTTTTCTGGCGCGTGGAACCGGTAGTCGTGGGAACGCTCTCGCTCCAAAGTTTCTCATGAACATGGACTTATGCATAATCCCATAAAAAGGAAGCCAAAGGCGTCAAATCGCACGGCCTTGTTGATTTCTCGAAAATTTGTTGAATACGCATTTTGTAAAAATCACTAAATCACGATTTCACTAAACGAACACCAGTATGGATGACGTAATGTTAAATATGCAGTAGGATCTTACTTTCTCAAGCGCGAAATAGATGAACCATTATAAGTTTGCACCTTTGTTCCTGTAAAATACTGACTTTTAAGTACAAGTAACAAGTTTCTAAAGTTTCCAAATTTCCTTTTTCAGTTTTTAATATGCCTTTATTTCGTTGTTCCAAAGTTGCTGCCTCTTATAGATATTCAATTTTCATACCAAAATTTTTTTTTAATACATAAAAGTTTAAGCATTTTAATTAAAAAAATAAAAGGTATTGAAAGCTACAATTTCTTTTGTTTGATGAGTACAACTAAGCAAAATACCATTTGTTTATACATTGCTTATGCGCAATAATTAATAATTATAATTTTATTACTAAATTCAATGCTGTGTAGTACATATTAAAATGTAATGATGAAAATAAGAAATTTATGAAGCTTTTAGTATAAAAAAACATTAAAAATAAAATTTAAGTTCGCGCGATGGCAATGCTTTACTTTCTCATAAACAAAAAAGGAGAGACCTATTAAAGAGCAAATATACGCTAAAACACAGCCAAAATTAAGATATACACCAAAACCAAAATTTAATTGACTGTGTAGCGGAGAGGGAGGAAGCTGCAGTGGCTTGTAGCTATTGTTGAACTGGTTGGAGGTGGTGGCTATTGGTCAAGCAAATACAAAAAAAAAACACACACAAATTAAGTATAAATAAATATGGAACACGTAGAGAGATCAACAATTAGACATTTATATACGAATATATGAAGTTGGAAATGCCTAAACGCCTGATTTTTTGTTTGTTTATAGTTTACACGGAAATGCATTGGCAAAAACTATAGCACATTTTAAATTTTTTGACCAGTAAGAAAAGTAAAGCATTAGCCAGGACAAAATAAAAAAAGATTTGGGAATTTCTTGATGTTAAGCTTTCTCTGCTAGCTGCCTTTGAATTTATGAGTGTTGTGATGTACATACATATGGTCACAAGCCCGACTAGGGTGAGGAAAACGTTGGCTTATTACTGCTTAAATTTTTCGTTTTTAGTTTTTTATAACAACTTGACACACAGAGTTTATATCACAGCCTTTATATATTCACTTGGAGATTAAAAGACCACCAACTTCAAAAGTGTGGTGGCCACGAAGATTTTGCATATATGTAGATACTATACATACGCAGGTTTTGAGTTGAACTTAGAGCGTTTGATAATGAACGCTGCGAAAAAAAAACACAATTTCACTTATGATTGTTTTTCTTAGTGGAAATTTGGAGATGAAATTTTTTCTACGGGAAGCTTCTCCACGTGTATATCTTAAATATACAAAACTACATTTAAATCTAAGGCATTTTTTATTTCTCATTGTTTATTATCTTTTATAAAATTGAATTTGTTTGTTAAAAAATTAAATAATGAAAGTGGTATTCTTTTTGTTGTGTCTACTTTCGGACGTATGACATCATTGGAGTATACAAGTATATGCATCCACTGAACTCGTAACATTTTTGTTTTCATTAGATGAAGTATTATAAGTTGTTTGTTTGTTTATTGAGTAAATAATTGTTTTTGCTGGACAGTAGTTATTAAGGAATTTCTTAAATAAATATCGAATTTGTTGTTTAAAATTTTTACGTTGCCTATTTAACAGTTGATAAGTAGGAATTCAGCTCATTCGTTTTGCAAACATAGCTGAAAAATTAATTCACAAGTTGTTTACGCACTTTCTTTCAGAAATAGAAAGGTACTGAACATGCGAAGATTTCATAATTTTAATTTCAACAAAAGCTATATAACTAAATAATTAAAAATTTCGCACTAGGGCGCATGCGCTCCTAACTTCATTAGATACTCGGTATAGGTTTGTTTCTCGATGTACAACTAGAAAAATAAAATATCATTAATTAGGATAATTGTTCCAAAACATGCACAAGAAATTTTTATACAGTCATTAGTTTGACACAGGGACTGAATTATGAAAATTAAGTTCTTTGTGGCATCAAAGTTTACGTTATTTTCGCAAAAAGCATCCTTTCAACAGAGTTTAAAATAAAAGGTTTCAAAGCGTATATTATTCTTAAATAACAAATATATATATATTTTTTTGATATTTCATTTATAGTATTAAATACATACTCGTTTTCGCATTACAGTCCCTGATTAAGAATTTTTCCAAACTGCACTATTACAGTTCGCTTGTTTTTGCATGTTTGTTGTGGAGAAAAAAAAATGCGCACAGTCTTAAGTCTTTTTTTACACCCCAAAAGGGAAAAATAGCATTAAACAATTAGGTTAAAATGGTAGATTTCACATATAGCATTTGTCAGTGGGGTGGGTGCCGTTGAAAACTACTTTTTTCATTTTGTGGATTTTTTCATTAAAAAAAAATATATAAACTCTAAAACTAGCTGAAATACATGAACTCAAATTTCAGTTGCTTTTCAATTGCATATATGTAAGTTTACAGTGTTTGCAAGAAGGCAATAATTTCCGGATTCGAATTTGCAACTACACTGAATTTATCTGGATAATTTTCACGAATTTCTTGCAACAATCCCAACGCTGTGTCGTATGTTTCCTTCTCTGTGTATTCTTTTTTGTAGAGCACATGTATGGCAATAGCTATAATTTGTTCCAATGAGCCTGCGATAGCATCACGGTCCTGCAGATACAATTGTTTCAAGCATTTAAAGATGGAAGCATTTTCATCGAAATCTTCGCGTAGCGGCAAGTGTTGCATGAAAACGGGTAGCACTTGAACCAGCGGCACCAACGAACTGTTAATGATAATCAAGCGTGCAATAGCGCCACAAATATTATCCAAAGAACTTGGCTTTGTTTCTTTGGCAACGGCCTGAGAGAGGGCATTTAAAATGTGAGGATAAGCTCTGTGAAAGATAAGATAGCAAATATTCAGTTAATATACGATCGAAGAAAGCAATGTTTTTCGGCTTCAACTTACTCGTATGATTTATCCTCAGAGTATAGTACTAATTCACCCAAGCCATATACCGCGTTTTGGCGTGCTTGATCAAAGTCGTCTGAAAGTCCAGCGATCATAATTGGACAGAAAGTGTTGAAGAATGTGCCAGTGTGGTTTTGTAAGGGTGCGAAACACTCTGCCAAGGCACCGTAAGCGAAAGCGCGCTGTGATTCAAGGTCTTCGTTTTTCTTTGCCTTTTGCTGTAGGTAAACAAATTTATACGCATTGATACACTTTAATAAATTACACTCTTTCGTTCATTTTACATACCAATTTCTGCAAAATAATCGGGTATGCGCGCTCGAAATATGGTCTAAATTGGTCGGGAGTCATTGCTGCACCCAACAACGGCAACATATTGCCAGCACCTTCAACAATCGCTTCATCATATTCGCTCTCCTCGGCATCCTCATCATCATCGCCAGTCGATTCATCGAATTGGCATGCTACCTTGCCCTGCAACACATCGGTAATGCATACGAAGAGAACATCGCGCAGCTCAACGCTCGGTAAGGCCACTTGCTTCAACTCTTTCAAGAGATCAGCCAAACCTTCAAGCGCTGACAATACAACCGATACTTCTTCATCATCATGTACGATTTGTCCCAATTTTGGTAACAAGATTGTAATGGCACTGGACACACCCTGTAAGTTTTGTTGCTTGAAGAGCGCAACAACAAATGTGCACAACGCGTCAATTGACACTTTACGTATATCTTCCTGTGGATGATCGATCATCTTGTATACATTTTGATATGATTTCTCCAAGTACGGAATGAAAGCGGCTCCGGTATGTTCAGCGAATTCCTTCAACGCCAATATGGCCTCCTCTTTCTCGTCCAAATAGGAATTTTCAACACTGTAACCCGCAATATTATCCAAATCATCCTCGTCGTCGGAGTTCTCAATATCAATATCATCCTCATTTTCATCGGCCTCTTCAGCTGGTGCTGGCACGCCATCGTCATCCTTGAATTCGGGCACTACTTCCTCGGTGGAGAGTATAGAGTCGAACATACGTTCAATTACTTTCGGGAATACGGACGCCATTTCTTCGTTCACCA